CCCAATCCCAATGATCCCAACACAAGCAGCACTTCTGCAATCGTTCCACTGCAAAGTGATCCGTCAACTTCTCATCTCTTACTCTAATTCCAGTCAGCGATATTGCCAAACGGTGCCGCGGCAAACCCACTTCGATGGCCACATTCCCACAGGTTCATTGCTCTCAACCTATCCTCAAGTTATCTATCCAAAATGATGATTCGGCCCGTTTGCAGATGCGATTGAAAAGCGATTTATGAGAAGTCGAGGTCCTGGTGGCCAGAACGTTAACATGGGTTCGTTTGTTGGCTCATCATTCTCATGAGTAAAGCATTAAATCATTAAAATTACTTTCTGCAGTGAGCACAAAATGCGAGATACGTTTCAAGCTGAGTGATTCTACAAAATGGCTCTCAAAAGAGATGCAACACAAATTTCGCAGCAAATTCGCACGTTTCTTGGCCGCCAACGACATTGTTATTATCTATTCGGACAAGACACGATCGCAGGTCACTTTCACATCACTGTTGCCCTCATAGAATTGTTAGCATTATTCATTATACACCATAGTACCAATCACCTTCAGTGTAATATACAACACATTAAGGCAGACAATCTGGCAGACTGCTTTCAAAAGCTGCACATGATGCTCGACGAGTGTCTCGAAGAAGTGCTCGATTCCACCAAAAGTCCATCTGAAGACGATTTGAAAATCTTGAAGGATAGGTAAGCGTTGCTAAATTTCCAGTAACAGTCAGTGCATCACCGAAATTATTTCCAACCAACCTGTTAACGATACCAACCATCAACAACCTACACTCTACACTCTTCATATATTCTTCCTAATTAATCATATCAATTTACAGAGCTGACAAGAACGCCACCAAACGTTTGGAAATGAAGCGAAAGCAATCGCAAAAGAAACGAATGCGTCACGATTATACCAATTAAGCAATCCATTTGCATATGATCTCATCTTCCGGCTCACTTCATTTCTCGACATCCTTCACTGTTATTCAACAACTCTAATGACAAATAAACACATTCTGTTCATTTCAAAACACACAACTCTTATCATAACAACATCCCTTCTCAAAGTGCTACAGTGAAATTTCAAGTGAGGTTCGGCTCGCAATTCTGCCTGAGAATGGTTCGCAATCGTTATTTCTCTGTTCGTTTCTCTAAAGACCGATCTTTATAATACTATCTCGATTTTTCTCTGTTCGTCTCTCTAAAGACCGATCATTATAATACTATCTCGCTTTTTCTCTGTTCGTCTCTC